GTAAAAGTACAGATATTGGAGCAAAAAAACAAAAATAAATAAAAATACTCGGCTAAAAGTAAAAGGGTCCAGTCAAGCAGTAACAGAGGGAAACAGGGGCAGATTTTTTACATTCAAATATTATTATTATTATTCAGAAACTAGAGGAACTATTGAAATAAGTAAAGTATCAGAATGTAGGAAAGAGTTACACTCCAACAGGGTCAAGTTAAACCTGTGAGATTCTTTCAAGTTGTTGACAAAAAAATTAAAAACTCATGTTGGTAACGGAGGGAATGAAATATGCAGCACTTTTTGGTCAATAAATCCAAACAGTGATAACTCTTGGTTCTCACTTACATATCCTTAACAAACTGGTTTGAATATTTGCTTCATATAGTTTTCTACCATATGGTACAAGATTAGGTTGAAAAACCTCTGACTTTTTGACTCATGAGATTTTTTATTAAGAAAGTTCATGGTAACGGAGGGAAAAGTAACGGAGGGAAAATTGTACAAACAAGTAGAAGGTGCAGGATTTTACATCATTTGTCGCTTTTTTCTTCCTGAATACTTTTAATATTACTTCAAAATGAAAGAAACTATTTCTATAAAATATGTCAGTCCTTCAAGAACATTTTTATCATTTTAATTTTTATTATTTTTTTTAAATCATGTCCCTTCATCAACAGTTCAAAGATGGAATAACACAAGATATGATGAAATACATCCATTTATTTACATGATTTTGTCTTTGAAATTTGGGAAATAATTTTTGTTCCATGTTTCATACATGGTCTGTTTAAAACGTATGGAACTTTAGAACCAAAAATGTACAGAAAAAAGGTCAACAGTTTGATAAACTAGAGTACATATGTATCTGTTCAATACATTTTTATATCAGATGAATTAACTTGAATTTTTGGCCTTGTTGTTTACTTCTGTTTGACCGGGACCAGGTCTGTTTTACATGATGGAGGAATAAATTAATTCGGCTTTAAAATCGGAATAAACCACCCACTTTGTTTTCATTTTCATCAGGAATTAAGTGTTCACATGGTCTTTTTAAAGCAGAATTAACTTTTATTCTGAATTAAATTATTTTTATTTGGAATTAAAGCTCTCATGTAAAAGTGTAAGTGTTTTATTTAATTTTGTACTTGATTTTTACTTAAATACTTTCTTATAATTTGCTTCATTCTGACAGTTTCAGCTCTGTCCCTGTGTCCCAGTGGCAGAGTGGTTAGCCCTTCTCCTCCTCCTTCTTCCTCCTCTTCTTCCTCCTGTGCGTGTGGAGGTTGTGGGTTTGACTCCTGGACTTCCTGACGTCTCGTTTATTTCCGTGGGATTTGGTTGGAGGATGGATTCACGCCGCAAAGTAAAAGGCTGCGTTTTGTCACAGCTCGAGCTTTTCACGAGAGGAGAAGAGAAGAGAGAAGAGAGAGAAGAGAGAGAGAGAGAGAGAGAAGAGAGAGAGAGAGAGAAGAGAGAGAGAGAGAGAGAGAGAGAGAGAAGAGAGAGAAGAGAGAGGAGAGGAGAGAGAGAGAAGAGAGAGAAGAGAGGAGGAGAGAGAAGAGAGAGAGAGGAGAGAGAAGAGAGAGAGAGAAGAGGAGAGGAGAGAGAGAGAGAAGAGAGAAGAGAGGAGAGGAGAGAGAGAGAGAGAGAGAAGAGAGAGAGAGAGAAGAAGAGAGGAGAAGAGAAGAGAGAGAAGAGAGAGAGAGAGGAGAGAGAGAAGAGAGGAGAGAGAGAGAGAGAGAGAAGAGAGAGGAGAAGAGAGGAGAGAGAGGAGAGAGAGAGAGAGAGAGAAGAGAGAAGAGAGAGAGAGAGAGAAGAGAGGAGAAGAGAGAGGAGAAGAGAGAGAGAGAGAGAGAAGAGAGAGAGAGAGAGAGGAGAGAGAAGAGAGGAGAGAGAGAGAGAGGAGAGAGAGAGAGGAGAGAGAGAGAGGAGAGAGAGAGGAGAAGAGAGGAGAGAGAGGAGAGAGAGAGAGAGAGGAGAGAGAGAGAGAGAAGAGGAGAAGAGAGGAGAAGAGAAGAGAGAGAGAGGAGAGAGAGAGGAGAGAGAGAGAGAGAGGAGAGGAGAGAGAGGGAGAAGAGGGAGAAGAGAGGAGAGGAGAGAGAGAGAGAGAGGAGAAGAGAGGGAAGAGAGAGAGAGAGAGGAGAGGAAGAGGAGAAAGAAGAGAGAGAGAGAGAGAGAAAGAGAGAAGAGAGGGAGAGAGAGAGAGAGAGAGGAGAAGAGAGGAGAGAAGAGAGAGGAGAGAAAGAGAAGAGAAGAGAGAGGAGAAGAGAGGAGAAGGAGGAGAGGGAAGAAGGAGAGAGAGAGGAGAGAGAGAGAGATGAGAGGAGAGGAGAGGAGAAGAGAAGAGAGGAGAGGAGAAGAGAGAGGAGAGAGAGAAGAAGAGGAGAGAGGGGAGAGAGAGAGAGAGAAGAGGGGAGAGGAGATGAGAGGAAAGGAGGGGAGAGGACCCTTGACTGAGCACCAGCGTGAGCACCTCTCTCTCTCTCTCTCTTTATTTCTCTCTCTCTTTATTTCTCTCTCTCTTTCTCTTATGACATATTCAAAGTGCTAATTTTAAGATTCTCTCTCTCTTTTTTTCTCTCTATTTCACTTTTATGACATGTTCAATCTGCTCATTTTAAAACTCACCTCTCTCTCTCTCTCTCTCTCTCTCTCTGTGTCTCTCTCTTTTTCTAACTGTCTCTCAATCCTTCCTTTTCTCTCTCTCTCTCATTTATAGATCCCTTTCTCTTTCTCATTCTCTTTCTCATTTAAAGACCATTGCCCCCCTCCTCTCCTTCTCTCTCTCTTTCTCTCATTTAAAGCCCCCCTCCTCTCCCTCGTTTTCTTGCTCTCCCTCTGTCTCATTTAAAGACTCCCTCCTTTCTTTCTCTCGCTCTTTCATTCATTTAAAGCCCAACTCCTTTCTCTCTTTCATTAAAGCCTCCCTCCTTTCTTTCTTTCCTTCTTTCTCTTTGATTTATAGACTCCCTCCTTTCTTTCTGTCTTTCTCTCTTTTTCATTTAAAGTCTCCCTCCTTTTTTCTCTTTCATTTAAAACCTCACTCCTTTTTTTCTTACTCTGTATCATTCATTTATAGACTCCCTCCTTTGTCTCTCTCTCTCTTTCATTTAGACTCCTTCCTTTCTTTCTCTCTCTCCTTCATTCATTTAAAGCCTAACTCCTTTCTCTCTCTTTCATTAAAGCTTCCATTCTTTTCTTTCTCTCT